TGGTGGAATCAGCAGATTGTATGTTTGAGGACGGGATAGATTGAGAATTTTGTTTTAGGAATCTATAACAGTTTTTTAAAGTGTTAGCATCCTGTGTATCTGATATGTTTTTTCTTTCTCAGATTTCATAGAAAAGATGTATTGGATCTGCAGTGGTCCAGGAATGGAGCCTATCTTATATCTGGGTCTGTTGACAATTCTTGCATCATATGGGATGCTGAGAAAGGTAAACAAAGATTTTGAATTGTATGTGAAATACTGGCTTGTTGTTCCATTGTTGTTAAACTTTAAATCTTTGTCATTCAGGGCTCTGTCCATCAAATTTTGGATGCACATCTCCACTAATGTTCAGGGAGTGGCATGGGATCCATTGTCCAAGTTTGTTGCATCACTTAGTTCTGACAGAACTTGCAGAATTTATGTTAACAAACCTCAGAAAGCAAAGGGAGCAGAGAAGATGAATTATGCTTGTCAGCATGTGATTGTAAAGATGGAACAGCAATCTGCAGATGATACCAAGGTTAGTAATGGTTTGTTCGTAGGCTTCATACCAACTGTGTTTAGTATTGATGAGTACTGACATTGTCAAAGTTGGAGATGCAGTGCTTGAAGAGTCATCTCTTTCATGATGAGACGTTGCCATCATTCTTTCGAAGATTAGCCTGGTCACCTGATGGTTCATTTTTACTAGTACCTGCTGGTAGGGATCTGCAGACTACAGTGGCTTCATTTAGTTGTGAAAATATATGTTTTATCTTTTTTTTTTTTTTCTAAATTTCTTTTGGTAAGAGATGGGTTTAGCCCCGTTTAGGGGGATTTTCCATTGCATTGATAAATGTGGAGTAGATCAAGATGAAAATCTTATGAGGATGAAGAATCTGAAGTTTCTAAGAAGCTAATACCAGATATCATGAACTTGGTTTTTTCAATTTTAACTCTAGTGCTTTCTATTGCAGGTTTATACAAATGTTCGCCTGATTCTGAATCTATTAACACTGCTTATGTATTTTCCAGAAAAGATCTTTCAAGGTAAGTTGCATCTTTTTGACTTCAAGATGGAAGTTGTTGCCTGATCTTTTTTGAGATGACTAGTTTGTATTTTCATGCATTATGCTGTTATTTTTTTGATTCAAATTGAGTACACCTCCCCTTTTTTGAGTACAACTAATCTATTTTCATTGACATCCAGACCTGCATTACAGCTTCCTGGTGCCAGCAAGCCTGTAGTTGCAGTGCATTTCTGCCCTTTGGCTTTTAACCTTCGTGGATCAAACTCAGGTAGTATAGTTTTTCAGTTTGATGCATATGGTGAATAATTTCACAATATGATATTAAATGAATCATTATTGTCTTTGACAGCTGGGTTTTTCAAGCTTCCATACCGGCTCATTTTTGCTGTGGTAACTCTGAATTCACTGTACATTTATGACACAGAAAGTGTTTGCCCCTCTGGCTATCTTGGCTGGTCTGCATTATGCAGCCATAACAGATATAGCCTGGTACTGCCCTACCCATACTTACGCCCTTCCGTGGGAATAGCTTGATTAACTATATTTAAAAGTATATTTGTTTGTCTGCTGCAATCCTGAAACTTGTAGCTTTTGATAGGTCGCCTGATGGAAAGTATTTAGCATTATCATCACAAGATGGATACTGCACATTGGTAGAATTTCAAAGTGACGAACTGGGAACACCTCTCCCTTTTCCAGGTTTGTCAGTCATTTTTGAGAAATTTCGCCTTTTATTCTGCACATTTTCTATTATATTTATTCTTTATATAACTTTCTTAGATGGAAAGACTGCTAGTGGTCATGTTGATGAGACTCCTAGTCAAAAGAAGCCTGAAGCAATGGTGGTCAAAGCTTCTGTAAAAGACAGCCCTGTTACTTTAGAGAATAAACAAACTGTAAAAGACAGCCCTGGTGTTTTAGAGAATAACCAAACAGATAACAAACAGGCATCACCAGTGGCAAGCACTCCTGTATCTAGCAAGCCAGCTAAGAGGCGTATTACTCCCATGGCAATTGATCCTTGACTGCCATCATCATCTTTGTAAAGTTCATGTTATAATTATCTCTCTGCTCCTAATCCCTGAGGTTTGGATTTTCTTCCACATTTTGTATAGTGAGTAATGAACTCTTGAAGGGAAGGGTCCATATGTCAGCTAAGATTGCAAGTGTACCATTAAATGATGCTAATACATAATTTTGATATCAATTTTAATGTTCAAAACACTGGAGTTTGCCAGTAACTCAGCATTTTTCAAGTTTATGGTTGTTTTGTTCCAGCAATTGGTACTAGACAGTAACAAATGCGGACTTAATCTCGCACTGCTGAGATGCTGATATTGGGAAGTTGGTAATTAATGCAGCTGCAGTATCCTGTTTTCACCGTTATTTCTACTGATTAGGATATTTTTGGAAACCCTACGATGTATGTCAAATGGTTTATTTCCCAGTGAGAAGAATATTATGGCACTGAATCACACTCACGACCTTTTCATTTGTGTCATTCTCAAAATTTGTTACCAGAAGCATCTGAAAAATGCAATCATAATATATATTTTTTTATTAAGAAAAAATATCTCGTGAAAGAAAGAATTCTGAACTTTATTTGTTGAAATGTACATACAAATTAGCAAATATTAAAGCAACATGGTTAAACTTATTTCGTTCACCGTTGATTTATGTCCTCAGTGCATGCATATATAGCATGTTCTTCAGCTCATTCATGAGTTCTTGTTCTCAATTTGGAGATGATCAGAGCCAGAAGTAGGTGCAGCTGTTTGGAGAGAATGGGGATGATGTGCACCCCTAGCATGCGAAGTCCCACTCACTATTTCATCAATTATTTTAGTTTCATGAGTATGAATGTCATCTTCGAAGGTTACGAGCACAGCTTGCTCGCCATGAGGACCACGTACAACTTCTTCATGAACGTGCATATGTTCATCAACCGTAATATTATCTGTCTCCTTGATCATTCTCTTTCTTCTCTTCTTGATGAAGCAAAACAATGCAGCTGAGAGGAATGCAAGAAAGAAGACGCCTCCAAGAGACACAAAGACAATGACGATGGTAGCATGGTGCCCTGGAGCAGGAGGTGGAGTAGGCACCACATGAGGAGGTGGTGGTGGAAGCTTTGGTGGCAGTGGTGGCGGCTTTACTGCTGGAGCAGGCGGAGGCAAATGATGTGGTGGTGGCCTTGGAGGAGGGTTCGAGGGCTTTGGTGGAGGAAGAGGATGTGGCGGCGGTTTGGGTTTTTGGTGATGGAGGAGGGTTTGAAGGCTTTGGTGGTGGAAGAGAGTGTGGAGGTGGTTTAGGTACAGGCGATGGAGGAGGATTCGAGGGCTTTGGTGGTGAGAGAGAGTGCGGAGGTGGTTTAGGTATCGGCGTTGGAGGAGGGTTTGAGGGCTGTGGTGGAGGGAGAGAATGTGGAGGTGGCTTTGGTATCGGCGTTGGAGGAGGGTTTGATGGCGATGGTGGGGTTGGTTTTGGTGGAGAAATGGGGTGAAAGGGAGGTGCTGGTTTTGCTGGGAACGGGAAAGCATGTGGAGGTGGAAAGGGGAAAAATGGATAGTTGAAATTTTGAGGTTGAGCCATGGAAGTTTATTACAATTAAAGAAAGCAAATGTAGTTTTGAGCAGATGATGTTTAAGGTGTTTGGATAAACACATATATAAAGCCATCCATGAACTTAGTTGCTTGAATGTTGATTGAACTTCTAAGTTCATATAATTAAGAAACTTGCACTTCATTCTAAGATTTTGAGGCTGTCATCTTGTATTTGAAAAATACTTGATGACTCTTGCTAAGTTTGCTTTCTCAACTAGGATTTTCTGTACTAAATTGTTTGAAAATTGATCAACAAGCTCTTGCATAATTGCATGTTTTTACTAAAATTGACCCGTTATGAATCAACGAATTTACCAGCCTTAAATCAAGGAAGAATCTATTACAAATTCAACTCAACTGATAATTTAGTATTAAGCAAAAATAACTCACGGCATAATAATTGATTGTAATATGGAATTATGGAGATTGAAATGTAGTAGTTATTTCTTTGTAATCATGTAATTGACTAGTAATTTGTCAATTTAATTTTGGATAGTGTAATTAGACATATGAAGAATTAAAGTCTTTCAAAGTCTCTAGTTTCCGTTAGATTTAAACATATGCTACTTTGACATTCACACAAAGACTAAAACCAACTTAGCAAGAAACCATTTTCCAAACCAAATGTATTGCATTCCAAGCATCTTTATATTGAGTGATTGACAGCTTTTACATACAGAGAAAATTATAAACTTCTTTATTTTTTTTTTTATTTATTTCATTTTTTTTTTAATTTTTTTATTCCCCCTTATTTTAAAGACCATAAATTACATGTTTAAAATTAGTAAAAGATTGAAGCCAAAGCTTTGAAAAGATCTTTGTTTTACTCATTCTGAATTCATATAATTAAAAAAAAAAATATTATTAATCATATACTTCTCCCACCCAATTTCGAACCTGAGTCCCTTAACAATCTGGAAATGAGCAGTTTTTTTTCTAATCCCTGTTTTTATGAATCGATATCAAACATGTCGATCAATGATACAATCTTACAGAATGCACAGACATTCTCTGGAGATGGAACCGAGCAGCCTGAGCATATTGGAAGAGAAAAGGTATGTACAATTTTGAAACTTATATGTTCTATAATGAACAACTATTCATATTTTCTACATACAACAATTGATCAAAGGTGAATGAAAGAATATAACCTTGAACCTCCCAAGGCTTCATTTACAGCTCCTCTTCATACACAAATCGTGGAAGGAAAAATCTGTAGTGAAGGCCAAAGGGCAGTCTCTTTAGCAGAAAATCTCTGTACTGATACAAACGCTGCAATTTCTCCAATGTGTATCTGTCCTATCAAATAGAAGACAAGTAATTTATAATGGAGTACATAAGTCGAAGAATCCAACTTGAACTTTCTCATTTCAGTCAATCTGCAAACAAGAGTGAAATGAATGTTAGAACTATGTTGATATATCCTGAAGAATGTTTAAAGCAACGAGTTATCCAAGGAGGAGCTGGAAGTACAATTCCCAAATTGACAAGTACTCCAAAACAGGAATGTGTTTAAATGTTGGATACAAACATGTAACGCAATTCAAAAGTCTGCATGATTTTGGTTATTCAACATGGATACTTGAAATGAAAATGCCTTGTACTATACATGTTACGGAGTACTTAGTAATAGAGTAATTGAAGCTTTCATCTGATCTAGTGAAATATTTTGGTAGAATGACAACTAACAGGCTAACAGCCTCTTTCTGTATAGAATTCCATTTGGAAACTATTCGTGAACCTTCAGCATAACAAAATCCAATAAACAAATGGAAAAAAGGATTACCTTGACCTATCCACAAAACACAATAAAAATGACAACTTTCAAAGATGTGAATTTCTAAGCACATGTGGTCTAAAAATATAATTATTGTTTAACAATGCATTTTCTATTTAATGCCATGAGATGAAACACTCTGGGATTTCATTATTCAATACAACTGCACTGTCAAAACTGACAACCAAGTAGCTAAAGAACTTGGAATAGGAAAGGCCCAAAAGGGTAAGGAGACTTCCCTCTAAATCAACAGTTGTGTTAAGATGATTAACGTGACAATAGAGGTTAGAAACGTTGAAATTAAATTTTGAGCACCCACCCAGCAGGACTTAAAAAAATAAAAAAATTAAAAAAATTGAAGTTTAAGGTAATGCAATAAAATGATAATGAATAATGACATGAAAAAGGGCCAGATAAAATGTTACTTGAAGATTGACATCAACACTATTCCAATCATTTTTAGGCAGTACCTTGTCAGAGAAAAGGTCAGACAACAGAATTTCATTCCAAAAGTCAGGTACCCCGGGCAGACACCAGTGGCTACAATCAGCAAAAGATTTACGGTCACTCCAGTTGCCTACATGTGCATCACCCCTAGAAGCTGACATGGAAGTGATACGCAACATTTTAACAGGAAATCTCATCTTCTTCACTATATCAATTACCACATCTGAGAATGGGCTCTGATGCTTAAAATCATAATCTGATTCTGGAAATTGCATCACCGTGCAATGTGCGCTGGATTGGATACTGGAACAACCAAGATAGGGAAATGAATAAATTAATCAAATCAGTGCATTGCTAGGGCATGCACAGTTGCGCACACACAAGCTGAACAGTACAGGAACAATCCACAATTGTATTACATACGAAGTATAAATCACTGAGTAAAGTTATTTGTATAATTGTATGAAATACATTTTTATCTTTTTTTTTCTCAATAAGCTTAAACATATATATATATGGTCAAAATAAAATAATTTTGACCACATCTTATGATTTATACAATAGAAATAAATTAGTATGAGGGGTCTTATTAGATTCCCCTTATTATAAAATTTTCAAATATTAACTTTTTATAATTTTCACTTATACATAGCCGAAGATATTCATGATAAAAAATGTTCATTGGAGACCACGCAAATGCAAAGTGAGTCGAACTTTCAGGGACGGAGGGAGTATATATATCTATATATATATATATATATATATATATATATATATATATATATATATATATATATTAAAAGCAAGTTTTTCAACTAGTAGTTCAATATTCAGATCAGTCTGATTCATCAATGGCAGAGGCAGTAAATGTTTGTGTAGCACATTGCAATAAGCTAATTTTGAACATGTAGAGGGAATTACTCAATGTACCTCCAGTGAGATGGCTCAAAAGTACGAAAGTAAACACGTGTTCTTTTAGAATCTACTGAAGCTTCCACCCATGAAGCCCAGGTGGCCATAGCTTTTTTAAAGGCCGAAGGTATTGACATCCCAAGCTTCAGTGAACCACCTAACTGAAAATAGCAACTCCTGTTAGGAAACAATTTAAACGAATTTAGTATATGAATAGAAAAAAAGAACTGCAGCCACTCTTAAGGGATCTATGCATTTTCACATTAAAGATTGACAAATTCGTAATACACCACAAACAACATGCAATCTAGCAACTGGCATGCCAGCCACAAGCTATTATGGCTTGTCTAGGAATTAGGACGTATAAATCAATACCAAGAAAAGAATTACTGTTTCCCAATACATGATAGCTGCTCCAATAAGTCTCCACTCTTCATTGATTCAACAAATATAAAACTATCATCATATAAAATTATGTCTTCACTGGGTGTTGGCAGGCGTATATGTTCAGTCTTAACCTTTCTATAGTCTAGATCAATGAATTGGCTAGGAGGAAAATGACAGAAAGACATCCTCCATACACTATTTGTGCTTATAATAATGACAATTTAAATCATTTGGCATAAATTTAGCTAATTTCAAATTCCTGTACAATGCCAACTAAAAGTACTGTTCAACATGTTGCATGGCAGGTTATAGAAGTATGTTCCTTAGATCAATTAAGACACATTACATCCATATCTGTCATTCTTCACACCAACCAAGAGATCACCCTATTCCAGGCAACACGTGCATTACTCTTCATGAGACATAATCAATGAAGGAGCAGAGAACAGAAACTTCTGTATATTCACAGTATGAGGCACAAACATACACCTTTGACAAAATTATGCATAACTTTGAGAGAATCTCCTACACAACACAATGTATTCACTACTACATCAAACCCATCAAAGAGCCATATCTAAGGGATCCTACTTCTAAACTAGCTTGAGATTTGAGAAATTATTGATTTCAAAAGCCATTTTTCTCTATCTATGACATTGCATAAGTATCCAGGTTTAACTCATTAAAACATCAAGAAGCATCTTTGCATTTATACATTTACATTTACAACTAGCCTCCTCCCTAATATTTATTTTTGCCACTCCTACTAACCCATACCCATCTGTTTTAGTATTGACCAATGCAGTTCCCATATGTTAAGGCTGTGAGAGTGACAACATTATCTTCAGGTCTAGGCAAGAATTTAATAAAGAGGAGGGACATTCAAGAGGTGCAATAAGTAAACTTATCAATATGCACTAATACACTATTAGCATGGTGGTCTTTCAAGGATTGATTGTTGTATTTTCCCCCAAATTTTAAAATCCTCTGAAATGCACACAAGATGGCTTTTTCATAGAAATCATTAGAGATAAATTCTTTGAAAAAGAGGAAGAGAGATGTAAACCTGTAAAACATAGGCATGGAAACATACAGTACATCTGCCTTCGCACAGACATACATATAACCCAGCATCGATGTGAACATGCTGAGAGAAAAGTACACATACACAAAAAATAAAAAAATATTGTGACTAAGTTATGAGTTCACACTAAACTTCATAGAATTGTAACTCCTAAATATTTTGTGATTACTCCAAATAGTATTAAATGACTAAATTCCTGACGTGCAACATCTTTTGTAAAATGTAAAATACAAAGTTGCATAAAATCGATAAATTAACATAGATCACATACTTTTATATGCACCAGAAGACTTACATTTCAAATAGCTTTGACGGTATCCACCAATGTCCCGAGTTGAATATTATTGCATCTGAATTAACCCATTCCTTACTGATGTCATCCATTTTGTCAAGCTTGAGTGTTGACTTCACTCTCTTTGGAGAATGCTTTGTTGCAATACCAGGTTGAACCAAGAAAACGGACCGATAAAACTCCACAGATAAATTAAAGGAACGAAAGCGAACAGCCAAGTGTCTCGTGGTTTTCGTTATGTTCCTTCCTTTTACTTCGTAAACACTATTCTTGTCCTCCACTCCTGTCATAAGCAAGCATATAAAGGACTCCCATTGTGTCCGACTCATAGAATCTCCCACAAAAACAACCCTTTTACCTCGAAGCCTTTCCAATATGTTAGATGCATTAAAAGCAGGGATGTCACAATCTTTGGGCTTCCATCTCCATCTAAGGTAATTTTTATCCTTCCTCCCATTGCCCAAGCAATTGAAACCTTGTTCCACAAAAGGACACTCAGAAGAATTGTACAAAGGATAGTTGTAGTCCGATACCCAACTCCCATCAAAGACATCACACTTACTCGATGAAGCACCATACTTGGGAAATACCAACCCGAAATTGGGAAAAATATTGAAATACCCAAAAGATAAACACAAGTAAAAGGTGATCAATGGTCCAGTAATGAAGAGAAAACACAAATTCCGAGAGATCAAGCTATCCCGACGAAGTCCATAGGAGTTGTCTGACTTATCTTTATGGAGAAACACTTTTGGACTACCAATAGCAGTGGCATTCTTCCTATTTGTAGATGTACTCCTACTGAAAGATGAACCACTACTGAAGATGTTCATGGTCTTAAAAGATCACAAAAACACTCCTCAAATTACACATTACCAAAACCATAGATTCTAAATAACCCTAAATCCCAATTTTCTATAGATTCATTCGACTTTCATCATTCAACTCAAAATTGCATCAAAACCCTCAAACCCCACATACCCATTAATCCAAAAATCAAGCTGAATCAACAAACAAACTATTATAACCTGGAAATCTTCTGGGCCTCAAAGCTCAATTTATAATACAAAGCACAAACTGCAAACACAAAGCAATCATATAAATACACATAAATATGGATTAATTTCCAAGATTCACCAACATCAGAGAACAAAAACAACAAATTAAACTACACCCAACTCATTAATTATGTAGAAAATTAAAAGGGTATCATTCAAATCTCAAGAAAAACATGTTTCATACAGAATCATATAATATAATCATTTAATGGTAGTTTAGAAAAGAAAAAATGCATGAAAAATTTACCAGTTTAGAAGCTCAAGAATGATCTCCAGGCATCAAATAATGCAGAATTAATGAGTGATTTGAAGAAGATGAGAGAAAATGGGGAGAGAGTGGAGAAGCATGAGAAGAAGATTCGAGGGAGAAAGGGTGGGAGCCGAGCAGCACATGACTGAATGAGACAGAGACTGGACAACGGACTGTATTAATTCATAAACTATTTCAGTAGTTGTTACATTTTGCCAACCCAGAAAATGATATTTTATTGCCAATTTTAGAAACTAAAAAGGATAAATTTTTTTCAAAAATAGTTGTGAAAAAAATAGTACTCGTATTGAAAATGATGTCCTTCACCAAGGATTATGGTGTGTATTATGTTCTCAAATGAATTATTGATTTAAAATAAGATTGGAGTAAAGAGCAAGATTAGCCATCAGTCTTAAGACTCCACATGACATCATCATTTTAGGTTTTAAAACAAGATTCTTTGTTTGATCCCATTTCTCTTGAGAAATCTTAGCTAAGTCTCAAGTTGAGTGTTGAATATTCAAGACTCAACTTAAAACTTGAGTGTGGACCCTACTTTATTTATTTTTATTATTACTAAGAGTAAAAAATAAAAATAAAAAAATTATAATAATATATGGTATGAGAAGTGTTAAGTGAGTTTAGGGCTAAAGTGCTAAATATGAGTGAGCATAAAAGAGTCTTAGCTAATACAATGACGTCATTTTTAGTGGGATCCATAAAAAAGTGATGTCATTTTAAGTCTTACTATGAGGTGACCGAATCCATAATTTAATTACACTTGAAGTTTTAGAGACAAAATGACCCGGCCCAAACCCAGTTGAGGATTTAAAGTGACAACTCTACATTATACTCACTTGGCGACTTAAAGATTAATATATTTGACTTTTTACAATCTTAAAAAATTCTTAAATCATTACTCCGTAATATAAACCAATTTAATAAGATTCATGTGACTGGTACATTGATGAGAATTTTTAGTTAAAATTGTTTTCAAAGTTTGTCGCAAAAAATATAAAAATTATACGTGAGTAAAAATATTTACCATTCATATGACCAACATACCAAGTGTATGATTAATCCAATCCAAGTTTTTGAAGAGAATTACTCTGTTATTAATATTATTATACTTTGTGAAATTAGATGTCTTCATTCGATGTTGAAAAGCATAATCCAAAACTCATGATTAATAATTGTGTATGATTTGATAATGTAATGTTGTACTTCGTAGCAGTACTTTATAACTAGTTAATACTCGAGTCATAATCGTCGTGTATAATTACTTTGTAATATTATAATAATGTTGTACTAATGTAATACTTCGTATTGTACTTTATGATCTACTAGCTAGGCGGTCTACAAATACGATAACTGGGCCAAGAGAGATCTGGGCTCGACTTGGATATTCTTCAGATTCTACAAAATGGATTTTCATGTATAACTAGCCCAAGACAATATTCCAATTACCATTACAATTAAACTACCTTCATTTTGGTTTTCTCCTTACTTTCTTCTTTCTTGGCGTTTTGTTTCTTTTTTAAAACTTATTTCAAGCAAAAAATATTATATAAATTTAACTTTAAATAGAATAAATTCTCATTAGATATATCATAAACAGTAATATTGTTTATGGCAGAGTGGCTAGGCAGCTACAATCTATTGAGATTCAACCTTATATTGTTTCGATTCATCCCTCCCCCACACCCTAATCCCTAAAAACACTTATATGGCTAAACAAGGGTAGTATTGTGCCTTTGTAAGCTAAGTATGAGGGAGGGCCCTGGCACAAGGCGTACACCTGCCTAACCAAGGCACGCTGCCAAGGCACAAGACATTGCCGCATCGGGCATTATTAAAAAAAAACACACTTATCTTTTGCAAATGAGGATACAACCTTGGCTTGCCATAGGGCCAATCCAAGGTCACTCCCAAGGCAACACAAAGCCAAAACCAATCAAAGACATCTTAAAATATGATAACAAGGGGTGAGCCAAGACATAAATGAGATGGTTTTAAATACCAAGTTGACCTCCTAGGACCCTTTAAGAACCCGAAGAATCAACTCAATGCATAATCTTGTCGAGTCCTAAATTATTCTCCAAATGCCAAACTTGAAGGCATACACAAAATTGGACTATTTTCAAATATTTTGGGACCTGGAGTCGAAAACTAAAGTGATGATATGGGAGGTATCTTATAATGTTGTTTGAAACAAATATGTCCACTAGCCGGTCATATAAAGTCTGCGGTGACTTTGAGTTAATATAAGAAGGCATGTACATAACCGGTTAAATTGACAGTTTAATTAAATGCAAAATAGATAGTTCTAACCCCTCCAGTGGTCTTTCGAGGTCTCATAGGGTCCATAGGAAACATTCTGATATCTTTTACTGTTGGGTCTAGAAATTAAAAAAATGTTCAAAATCAAAGGTTATCATCCATGCATTTGAACCAATTTTAGAATTTTTTTTCTTAAAACTAAAGTGAATGTGTAGGGCATCCTTCAAGCTTATCAGAGAAATGACCGAACTGGGAAAGTACGCATCTTTCCTGAGAGAAAAAGCCTAGCAAAAGTCGAAGAACAACATGCATATAGATAATAGAATGGCCAAAAAAAGACCCATCAAGATGAATTTACCTTTTAATAAACTTTATCTCAATTAAGAAACATTGGGATACCAAGTAATTTCTTTATCAAACAACATGTCACTATGAAGTTCAGACTATGAGGCAAAAATTGCACCCTTTTTTTTTTTTTTAAAAAAAAAAAAAAAAATTTATAATTTAATTAAAGGGTAGTTGAATTTCATGTATATAAAAACTTTATAATTACAACTATGGCCTGCACTTTCCCTAATACAGTAACACTTACCCTAGGGTTGGAATAATTATGCTTTATTTAGTAAGCAGCTTTTGATCATTTTGAGTAAGTTCAATCCCTCCTTTTACTTCTTTCCTCTTCCTATTTCTCGTTTTCTGTTCCCTCCACTCTGATTAATTCTATCTCCCTTTTTTATTTTTTATTTTTTTAAATGCCTCAATTTTAAAGTTTATACATGAACAAAATACTGTATATAAAGTTGTTGGTATGAAATTTTCCTTCTAATTTTGATAGTTGAGCTCTTAATTAACTATTAGCCCTATTTTCTTTTACTTGAAGCCATTAATTACTAGTTAATATCATTGATGTTGTCATGATTTTTGATCAACTTCATGATCATATCCCGTAATATCTTATATGTCAAATATAATACTTACACAATTTTGAGACTATTTTTTTTTTTCAATTTTCTAAAATTATATTTTAACATGGATGATTATTGGTTCCCGATATAAATTACTAATGTTTGGATTTATAACTAAAAGTACTATTTCGGTAAAACTATGATATCAGTATAGTCAATAAAGAAATGAGTTAGAACCGTGATTGCATTTCCTTAACTACTAATGTTTTTGCAACTCTACCGTACTAATTAATTTGATCTTCTTGAAAGTAACTAGGGTTTTCATTATAGATAAAATTAAAACAATTTACTTACTAATACTAAAGAATTGTCTAACCTATTATGGGACACCATGAATATTAGACGATAGTCAACTAGTTCAGCATAGCGTAATCTTATTATATATTGACAAGTGTTTGTATGTCCTTACACTAAAATAATTGTTTTTTTTTACAATAAAATAATTGTATTTACATGCAATAATACTTCGTAGTAATATAATACTTCGTACTTAATTAAATTAAAATAAAATAAAAAATTGTTTTGAAAGCTATGTGATATTAGATAAAATTCAAATCAAACACATACATGGTAAATTCTTAAAGATTATGTCGATTGTGAAATACTTAAATGGATAGTTTTTTTGATAATTTAATTTTTTTTTTTTTAAAAAAAAAAACATGATTACGTTTGCATAATTAAGTTTGCATAATTACGTGACATCTTCTAACAGCATTCTAAATTTGAAGAATACGTAATTAACACTAAGTATTTATTTCTAGTAAAAGTTAGGTGCCATATTTACCTTACGTGAAGAAGGATCAAAGATTTTGAAGCTGCTTAATGGTAAAAAGTCTATGAGATCAACCCATTATAGTCACACATGAGAAATGAGATATTGTATGCCTCCTTTTTCTTATCCAAACTTTACGTCGCAATAATAAAATAATAAAAAATAATTACAAATAATAAAATTGTTGATCACACGTATAATTAACATGAAACATTAATATATTAATATTTAATACAATTATGTCGTGATGTTGTATCATATGATTTGATACTGTGTTGTCAATGATTGATTGATGTTGATGTTGATGTGATGGCTAATGTTTAGAAAATTAAGGAAAGAAATTCCTTGATTGATTGATAAATACTTTGTATGTTAACTATGAATCTTATAATGAGTATAAAAAAGCTATTAAGTCTTATCGATCTAGTTCTAAAACGAATAGGGAATTAAGTCTAAAACCAAAATCATCAAAATTTAGCTTCCTTAACGTAATACACCAAATAATCATGGGCATAACATAGGGGGGCTGGCGCAGCCTAAACTCTCCGATCCATAGTCCATAATGTTCTACTTTGTATTATTTTTACTAGTATGGAACTAAAGATAATTCAAACAAATTAAAAATTTTGGATCTCTTAAAAATAATATTCTATGTCTTTGATTGATCAGAATAAGTTGTATCATACACTATGTAGAAGTTGCTTTAATTTGTTTTAGTGGTCAAAGGCTCATAGCAATGATCTTCCATTTAATACGAATTTTCCTTGTTCTTTTCCCCATTTTAAAGAGGTCTAACTTGTCAAAGTTGAATCGAGAGGATATATATGAGGGGTTAAGATGTGTAGTTGAGTCATTCACTTTATATGGAACTACACACCGATTAAGTTTTAACTTTGATAAGTAAAGATAATGACCTAGCTAGCTTTTATAACCTAATCACAATGCAAAATTAAGTCATGGCTAGCTTCGTTATTGATTAGTCTTTGCAAACACAAAATTTACAAACTATTGGGGTGTGGACGTTCGCACCCAACAGTTCGTGCGGCAACCCTTTCCCTTCGAATACATTACCCATTCATTTCAATTGTGAAAGAAAATTTGGATTTTAGGGCTCACAATTCACAAAAACAAAGATCATCATGCTTGAATCAGGCAACCAAATCGAAGAGCATTTTCTGATTGAATCGAAAACCCCTCAAAACGAAGATGACGAAGTGC